AAAAAAGTAACAATTATACAAAAAACAATAAATTTAAAATATTTATAATTGATGGTCAAATAAGTTGCGGTCTGTGCTGCGATACCAGCCCCGACGCATTGGACGCAGTGCACAAACTAGCAAAAGGTCAACTAAGAGCGCACTTGATTTTAGCACGGGAGTGCGTTGCGCTAATCAGAATTTGGACTTGTGCAGAAACAAAATGATGGAGAGCAGGGACCTAATCCCTAAATCATCTGTACTGGCCCAAAGACGTTGACTTAGGAGTAGCATTTGACCGTGGAATCGACGCTGGTTTGATAATTTTCAGTCCTTGAGAGAATCGTTGATATTGCGAAACGTATTGCTTCTTTTCTGTTCTAATAAGAAAAAGTGCATACTTTGAAGAGAATTTTCAAAGCCATGCCAGTTAAAGCTGGGCAGCAGATCCTGCCCCTCGACCTTTCCCTTCTTTCTTTCAAATTTTATTTTTGGGAAAGAATAAAGGTAATTTTGCCAGAATTATTATTATTACGTAACATTAAACTTAGGATACATGGACTGCTTTTCCTTGGTCTGTATAAAACGACTAATTCCAACCAAAACATCAGAGTCACTAACGTGGACCATGGGCGAAAATGGGGTGTCCACGTCCTGGAAAATTCAGCTGATGTTGAGAACTCGTCAATACAAAGCTGAAGAATATTTCATTTGATAGTTTTTCTTTCCTTTGCGTTCAGTAAAGACTATAATGGCTGTGCTTCTCAGGCCAATTGAATCTTCGAAGGGTCTCCAATGGAATATCTCAAAGGAAAGAATCTTTCAACTTCTTTTTGGGGTTTAAAATTCCCAAATATATGCTCATACAAAAGAAAAAAAAATATATGTATGTATGTGTATATATATATATATATAAATGTTAATTTTGATTAATTATTGTTTTTTTGAAATATTGTTTTACAAAAGAATTACATCATAAGTATTTCAAGTGTAGAAGACTAGAAGTGCTTAAGATCGTTCCAAAGGTAGAAACAGTCATGGGTGTTTCAAGAGTGAAATTGTTCAGAGGTATTCAAAGCACGAAAAAGTTTAAGAATTTTTCAAATACAGAAGTGTTCGAGGACATTTTAAATGTAAAAGCGTCCAGAAACATTATAAGCATAAAAGCTCCTAAGACTACTTCAATCTTCTTCTCTACCACCTGTAAAATTTCAATTTACTTGTTGTAACACATCCTTTGTTTTTATCAGAAGAATCCTCTACAATATATATATAACCTGCATTTGCAAAATGACAAGGCTCCTTTTGCCTTTCAACATAGTGATCGCCACACTAAGCTTGCTCTTAATTTTTTTTTTTTTGAGAGCCTTGAAGTGGTATTTTATTGGATGACATAAATGGTGGTGTAGAAGATGCAAAAGTCAAAGAGGAAGTGGGAATGGAAACACCATCCAAAGTGGGGAAGTGAGTGTGGCTTTTTGAAGAAAGCAAAAGTTATTATTCAAAGATATTTCACACCTTTTATTCCTGTTCTCCCCCCCTTTTGGGTTTGTTTGGAGGGATGCTCTTTGCCTTTTATATATTAATGAGTATATAAATTATTTTGACTTCAACTCTATTGTTTGATGCATTAAATTATTGACATGTACACAGGGTCAAGGGTATAAATCACTACATACGGACATATGGAGTTCCACTCAAAGGAATTGTAGGCAGATATTCAAATACACAAGTAGCAAAATTGTATCCACCCCTTTTTCGTTCTGCACATGCATCTACCATATTGCCTTTTATTATGATTGAGAAATTTTCCCCATATGTCGTACTCATAACCTTGCGCTAAAGATACGATTCCGCTTCAAAATAGAGTATTAAGTTAGGATAAATTCTCAATTAATGGGTTAGGCACACCTGCTTCCTTCTCCACCCCACTCACTCAGGGTCGACCTGGGACGTTGCCTAACACGGATTGGCTAGCCCTGTGGCGTGAAAACTACCCCTCTTTTGAGAGGATTGGGTACGTATGGCTCAGTGTTTGATGACAAACCTGGACTCAAATCGTGAACATATATTTGGGCTTAGCCCAATACTATTGTTCTGGAACACTAGAATTTTTCTGGCTGCGATAAAAAAGAGGAGGAAACAAAAGGAATTCTGAGGTTTTAGGCACGAAAGGAGTCTAAAAACGCAATTCCAGAACAGAATCAAAATACATTTACAGAGCAGTAGAAATCTCCCAGCTCTGACATAAAAAGGCATGTTTGTCTATAGCCATCTGTGAGAAGTCCTGGAATCTGAATCTTGACGGAATTAACAATGTAATTGAAGAGTGCATCTACATCCTGAGCCTGCTTACCATGCATGGTTCCTGCTACTCCTTTCCATTCAGAGAAAATAGACACAAGCAGTCCATGGCACTTTAAAGATGACCACTAGGTCCTTTTAGCAGCTTGATTCAATAGAATTTTCGTACCAGCATCGAACAGACTATGAATACAAGAGAAATGCAGCATTTTAGTTCACAGGTGCCTGTAGGAGTATATCCAAAGTAAATTATCTCTATCTTCAACTTCTTGTTTGCATAGACGCACAAGTTGTTTGCAATTGGGATTCTCCCAGCAGAGAGCTTGGAAAGAGTGGGCAGATTATTTATTATAGCCATCCAGGCAATCATGGCATGCTTGGGGATGTTGTACCGAAACCATAAAATTCTGTCCTGTTCCACCCCAGCCATTTCTAGCCCCCAAATCTGACTGGCATCAGAAGACGTGAGCTCCATAAGAGAATCAGCTAGAGTTCTGAGTTAGAGGATGCTCGCTATTGTTTTACGCTTTTAACTAGAAGATACTAAGATTGTTTTCTAGTACCACAAATTTCGGAAAACAAATTAATTCCAGTTTGTCCAAGGTAGTTTTGTCTGAAAAAGCTGCAGTATAATCTGGAGACATCGAAGGTGAATCTTTCTTTGTCCACTGGATTTTTAAGAAGTCTGATACTAAATTTAAGCACTTGAGTGATTTGACACTCACTTCACATTGACAAATGTAAAAAGAATCCTTCTTATGTCAAAAACAATCATCAAGCAAAATTTCTTTGCAGGACTCTAAATGATGGGTTTGACAGCAGTTGCAGAAGTCTTAACCTTTGTGAACTTTGCTAGATGGTGTTGCCAGGTTTATGACAGGATAGAAGAGAAAATTAAATGGTGAACTAGTTTTATCCATTTGACCATTGAAACCTAGCTCCAAACAAGTGGTAACCAAGTATCATTTTACGAAGCAGGATGTGAATTAATTAATCACTTAAGGAGATACAGAAATTTACACTCACAAATAGAATTCATCTTGGTTCGTAATTCAGATATTGAAGTGAGCCATACCAAGGGTCCATAGTCTATTATGGATTTCGAACATTCAATACGAGGGAAAAGCCAATTTGACATGGCACCCGCTGTATTGTTATTCGTCAAGTCACATGCATATTATTTTCTTCCAAGTACGTATTGTCCAGTCACCAGTGAATTTTGGCTAGAGCCTTGAAGATAAAAAAGTCAAATCGCAATTGGAAAGAATGCATTTGGAGACTAAGTTTTTAATAAACCAGGGAAATAAGTGAGCTGAAACCAACAAGAGACTAAAACTTGAAACCCCAAATTCTAGCTAGACGCCCCTTTGTTGCTGATGATTTGTTGCCACTAACTATCATGGCCGGTGAGCCTTCGTTATCACCACCTGGCAATTACCTAGACAGAGAGAAGGTGAGAGAAAACTTTGAGGAGAAAAGGAAAAAAATGGAAGAAAAAAAAAAAGGGGCGGGGGGGGGGGGGGGGGGGGGGGGGGTGGTTTGGGTTGCGCAAATGGAGAAATGAATGCGAAAAAAGGGAGTTGGGGAGGAAGGGGGAAAGGCTTAAAGCCTAAAAAGGGAAACCAAAGAGAAGAACAAAACAAGAACTACAGTAATAATTCTTTCTATTTGAGTAAAATAACGTTATAAAGGCTCTCTTCCCTGAAAAAGAAACAGTTAAATTTTAGATAAAATTGATTTGAATTAATAGGAACATTATTTTTAAAAAAAAACCCAATCATTGTATGAGCTTGATATGAATTATAACGACGTACATCACTCTTACTACTGTCCTTTAACTTCCTTTGATTTTTCTTATCAACCACACGTAACAGATTGAGATTGGCATTTGCAATAGCACTCAACATGGATTCAAATCACGGGCCCTTCCAGCTGACGGGGAAGTAGCTATATAGCATTGAGAAATTTTTTCTAAGATCAAGTTTAGACTTTAATGTACTGTCATCCGTTCAATTAGTACTAGAATGTAACCCTATTCGGAGCCACTGTTAAGGTACTTTACATCCTGTTCAAAGTGCATTAACCACGTATGGGAAAACATTCCATCGAGCAGATTGGCATTTTCAACGGCAATGGCACCCAACAAGATTTCAAATCATGGGCCCTTTCCAGCTGATGGGGAAGTAGCTAGCTAGCAATATCGAAAGTTTTTGCTATGACGAAATGAAGCCAAGCCAGCATACGATTCAGGGATATGTTTAGAGGTGAAGTTAATACATTAATGTACTATACCATCAATTCAGTTACTAGAGTGTAACCCCATGAAGAGAGGGGTACTATTTAGGTACTTAAGATCCTGTTGGACATGCAATAAAAAGTTGTTTTTGGAGTCTTGGTCAAGCTATATACGCAAACACACCAATCATTCACGGGAAAATTGTGGCCTTAAGGCTTCAAGAATTCATCAAACACGGGCCCAATAAACATCTTTTCTCTCTCTAGAAAACAAGGGTACTACTAAAAGCTAGTCTCGAAAATCATGAATTAAAAGCAAAGCAGAAAGGGCTTTACTTTATGTTTGCAAAGGTCAAAAAGATCCAATTCCCCAAAAGGCACTTCTTTGGGGGACAGCATTTTCATACGACTGCTTTTTCAACAAGATGAATATGATAATAATTACTAAGAAAAAAGAGGCGGAAAAAAAAAAGAGACAAGGATAAGTATCCAAATCCAGTGATAGAATGTAGGTTCATTAATGCTGTTACTCTCAAGGTACAATGCACATACAAGTGATACAAGTAGGGAGTGTTAAAAAAAAACCTGACATTTGTTTCCTAGATTCCTAACCAGGATTTTAATACACAAAACTTTCACCGCTATAAGCATTGAGAGAAGTTGTCCATGGGTAAACCTTCTGGTGAGCATGTGAACAAGAATCTGATTGTTGGTCAATGTAGGGGTGCCGGCAAGCACAGAGAGTGCGGAGGAGTTTTAGATAATAAATACCGGTGTGACAAGCTACTCGGATACGTGTTGCCTAAGGCCTACAGGCCCTAGATAAACTCTCCTCTGCCAATCTTTCTAATCAACTGTTTCTTCGTGTGATCTGTTCCTCAGCATCCAAGAGTAAAGCAAGAGCAAATTATGGAAAAAGTATGATGGGAAATGTTAAAATTTTACACCTCGTTTTGATCACTAATTCCCTAAAATGTACTGAAGAAGCACAAACATAGGGAAAAGCTCCCTTCCTTCAAATGATATCTACTTGTTAATTAAAGCATGTGCTTTACTGCACGAAGTTCCTTAACCCTGTAGTAAGGAACACAAATACCGTGAGAAGTAAGCGCACATCTCAATCCCTGGAGGAGAAACCCATCACTCTTTAAAACCCGGGAGGAGAGAAGATAGCATTCGATGGAACAATTAAGCGTGTCATTTTACCAAATTTCAACACTCAACAGAGACAACTTGATGATCAAATTTAGGGTTTTAGATAAGATGTCATGACAAGCCCAAGGCATGTGATGGGTTTCCTTTAATCAGACCCATACCTGTGCCCACACTTCCATTGACACAGCTCTTATTTACAAAAGCTGTCATTGTCCTATCACGCTAACTCTACGAGACATGCAATATTTACAGTGAAAGGTCCATTGTTCATTCCAATAGCACAAGCTTGCTAGCTAGAGAATCTAAATAAAGTAAAATATAACTGAGGTATTCAAAATTATTACTGCATCATATTAAATTCAATACTTAAATGCACTTCCTTCACCATGCAAAGCAGGTAAAGGATAATACAGATCTAATTAGTGTACATCAATAAAGAAAGAAAGTTGATAAAGAGCCATGTTAGTTAAAGAAAATTAAACATCATTTCAAAGAATCACTCACAAATATAAAGCTCTTCCGAATTGGGTTGTGTAATTACTCCTCACTACCAGAAATACTTTTCATGGAAATTGTTAAAGAAAGGGCCAGTCTTTCTTTTCTGTTTACCTTTGCTCCTTTACCCAGGTCAAGCTTTGTTCAAAAAGTTTCATTTGAGGGAAGAGCCAAGCTCTCCACCTTGAAACCCTAGAGCAATGAAAAAGGAAGAAAGCTAGGGATGGCGCTAAAAAGAAGAGAGAATGTTTACCAAAGTTCAAAGCCAGATCTGAAAAACAGCAGAAACAGACAGATCAGATACAGGAAACCATCATGGGAAAGATCTGCCTCATGATGAACCAGAAAGGAGCGTTAGGACTGACAAAAACACCATCATAGCATCGCAGAAAAAAGGAAAAACAAAAAAAAGAGTAATGATGAAACTTTTCTCCGGATGATGAAAAAAAATGGTCAAAACACTTCATCATTACACCAATCTGCACATAACTAACAACCTTAATTGCTCTAAAAACAAAATACCCAATGATCTAAAACAACCAAATTTTCCCAAAAGAGGAAACAAATAACACACAAAGTAATCATTAAAGTGGGAAACCAAACCTTTACATGCTGCAGTCCATGATCTAGAATCTAGCCCTTGCTACAGAGTGCCGTATGGAAGCAATAATTGGGGGGAATGAAGCCTGGTCCGACGGCACTAGCACAAGCTCAATCCATTAATATCATAATCAGATCCATAGGAACAAACTAATGCAAGAAAATGGATTAAAAGAAAGTGTCCTCGAGCCAGACAACATTCCCCTCAAAAGAGTAGCTCCTTGGCACATCCGAATTAAAGCTATATCTTCAAAAGACTTTTCTCATAAATTGTTGGTTGCAACTAAGTGGTTTGTTTATGTGTTTCTCTGATACTCTTATCTCTTTATCCCCCAAGAGTCTCGCCTGTCTTCAAGGGGGACGAGACAGTGAGCGACACAGAGATAGGGAAAGAGAGAGAGAGAGAGAGAGAGATGGGAGAGTGGTGGTGTTTGTGTTGGGTGATCATGAGATGATGAAGAGAATGATATGGGTGTTGGGGGTTTTTAAGATGAGTAAAAAGCGTGGAAAGCCAACGTTAAAAGGACAAAACATAGCAGCAGACTCGACCCTACCAGCTGTTTTCTCAGTTCCAGAAATGACCACGACCCCATGCACTCTAATCTCTCTCTCTGTCTCTTTCTCTCTACTTTGGGTGTTATACCTATGTATCATAAAACCATTTTTTTAAACCCTGATCAACCGTTCGATTCTCTTGACGATTACGATGTTAAGTGGAGTGAGAAATGAGCACATTGGAGCAAAACCCACCATTAGATTCGGGGGCATGATGGTTGATGGTGTCATCAAAACGCATAAAGAAACTAGTGAAAATGTACTGTCTATTCGTTAATGTAGCCTAGAAATCCAGAGCCCTTGCCTTAAGAACCGTAGGATTTGTGAGATTTTGTACAATGGTGTTATAGAGACTGTACTGCGATAAAAAAACTATAATGATGACATAAATAATTGAATAGAAAAGGAATCAAAGTAAAGAAAGGCCTAAAAGTGAGTCAGAGGAGTGGTTGAGTTATTGAGCTGCCCGATAATGGAAAACACATTTAATATCTCACACTTTTTAGTATTTAATATTTTTAAATAAATATAATATAAAATAAACATACTTCAATTTTTGAACTTGAAAAATTTTTTAATTTTAAAAATGTTGCATTTTTGTTTTCTCATGAAGGAAGGGACCCTCGTCTGGCGTGTCACTTTTGGGAATGGCGAGGAATTCGAGGCGATGACCGACAGATAGGGTCAGGGTCCACGCTTTCCTTTTCACCTTTGCCTTTTTACCCATCCCAGCTATTTGGCTAAGGTCAAAGTGACTTACGTTTTCACTTTGCTTTTTTGATTTTTGATTATTCCCTTTGGCTAACACTAAGGCATTCATTTACAAAATTATAAAAACCCAGAAATCATAAGTAATTGCTTTTCCTTCCAAATCTTTTGTTAATCATTATGTCTATAATTATAAACCTCTAGTATTGGCAAATACAACAAACTTGGTTGTTGAAGCTAATTTGAAATAGCTAATCAAGGTAGTACATAAGTAGTCAGACTTATGATCCACCGCCCATTCATAAAAATTAAGTAGCTGTCACATCAATTTGAGAAAGAGAAAACCTAATAGAGAGGGCGGGGTTGGGTTGGTTGTTCTGTGGTACTCTAGTTCTACTTGTATTAAACAAAATCGAGAATATAACTGTTAGATTAGA